AGTTGTAAATTTTTTTTTGATTTTTTTTTTTTTTTTTTGATTTTAATTGATAGCAATCAAAAGATAATTGCTGTACTACTACATGTAATTATGATATCATGTACTACCATAACGTGATATGAAATCACGAATTGATCTGCAAAATGGCAAACTTTAATTCGAACTTAGAAAAGGGGGTACAATTGCTTAGAAAAATCAAGCACAATCGCACAAAATCAAAAAAAAAATTTTAGCAGCCAAATTTGGCTGCTAGATGGTTTAAGAGATAATAAAAGCAGCATTAAAAATTATAGATTCAAATTTTTCAATATTGATATTTAATAAAACCTTTGTAAAATACCTAGCTATTTTTTTGAAATATTTCTTTTAATAAGTGACATAGCAGAAGTAGTATCAGAAATTACAGCTTCAAATTTATAAACACCAATATCTAATAAAACTTTTTTAATTTCATTCACTATAAAAATTGCTATATGTGATTCATTTGAAAAATCTTTAATTAAATACACATATTGCATTTTTCTAGTAATTACAATTATAAAATCGAAATAAAAATAACCATAATTACTTGTCTATCTATCTATAACTAAAAATAATAAAATAATAAATTTACATTAGTTTTATTAAATTATATTTAAAAAAATATATATTATATTACCTAATATAAGATTATTTTCATTTTGAAGTTCGATACTATAATTTATATAGTTTCAAAATCAAGCCAATTATTACTTAGGTTTTTTAGTTAGAAGGTTTGTATAAACACATAAATTTTTACAAAAATTTATAAAAAATAGATGCTTAACAATCAAAAAAAAAATTCTACAACATGCAAAAAATCATATTAATGCTTTGTGATACAATTCTTCTTGTCTAGTATTTAGTTTATTTATAACTTAAAATTTACTATTAATTCATGGTTGGGCACTAGTAATAATATCTAATTCTTTTTTTTTTTTAATTTGGTACAAGAAATTTTTATAAAAGTTCTTGTTTAATATTAACTAAAACTTTTTTACAATTTAAAGCCAAGTGTATATATATATTTAAGTCAGTTGTATAAGAATTTTGATCTTTATAATATAAACATTCCCAACCTTTATAACTATCACCATGTGAATTAATTTCTTTAAAATGATTATCCTAAAGTATATTTTTTGCCAGCTCCTTTTTTTTTGACTGTTATTTGTATGGCATTAGTGTCTGAATTATTGGGAATTTCTGATATAGAATCAGAAATATTATCTCATATTTTTATGATATTGTAACTTGATAGTATAAGTAATTAGAGATTAGTTTATCAAATTTGAAAAAAATTATAAAGATAGTAAAAAAGAAACACTTATATAAAATTATAACAATACAGTTTTAAAAATTATCGCTCTTTTTAAATTAATAGACAATTGAGTTTTAGAAATCTTATAAATTCTGCATATTACTATTATTTTAAATAGTAATATGCAGAATTTACAGAATATGAGAAACAAATTGTTTTTAGTAAAATTATTTAAATTTTTAAATTAAAATATCTCAACAACTAATTAATCAAATTTATTAAAAAATTTTTTATTTTAGTCTTGAAATTATATAGAATTAAAATAAAAAATTTTTATCAAATTTGATAAAATAATTGCCAAGATATTTAAGCCTAAAGTCAAGAAAACTTTTATTTAGAAAAAATTTATCTCTTTTCTATTGACTCATCTTCATATATAAAATTTAATTGTTTACCAATTCAAAAATAGTAATAATATACCAAAATAGCCTGTATACTCTGTAATATATATTTATTATAGCAACTCTAAAAATGCTGCAAGTAAAATAAATGATTTTATATATATTATTTCTTTGAGAAAAAGTTTAAAAATGTTCAAAAAAGTATGTGTCAGCTAAAATTGTGTATACAATAAATATTGTAGAATTTATAGTGAATTTAATTCACATATATATATATATATATTTCATACACATTTGTATACTAACCAGTTCTAAATCTTATAATACTAATTAAAAATAGTTTCTTTTATCTGGCTCAGTGTCTACAATAATAATAATGATAAATACTTCTTTTGTATAAAATCTAATTTAGAATAATAAGTTTTATTATTATTAAATAAACTTTATTAAAAATAGGACCCTTATATTCACATGGCATCACATTAATATTTACTTTTTGTAATAATAAGATTACCAACTTGTTTCTATACTAAATTAGTAATGTTTACTTTTATAGTTTAATTGATCAATAGTAAAAGATTATTACTATTTAATTTAAAAAACTCTGACCTATACTTATTGTCAAATATAATTTACAGAATTAAAGTAGCAATGACATTACTATATTTTCTTTGTTGCCATATTCAATTGTAAATCAAAATTATAATATTATATTAGGACTGGCAATAATATTTTAATTATTTATAGAAAAACAAATGAAATATATACTTCTTTAAATTTTAAAATATTATAGCCAATATTTTGCTAATAAAATAGAAATATTATAGCCAATATTTTGATAATAGAATAGAAATATTAAACTTGTAAAATTCTATAAAAAATTAATCTACCATGTCTGTTTTACTATATAAATCTAATAGTTTATTATTTTTAAATCCAATAACTTCTCAATAATAATGCAAAGTTTGTTTGTGTATTATACAGAATTGTATAATATAACATGCTACATAATGCTACTTTATGTGATGCAAGGCCCAAAAAAAAATAAGAGATTCATTATACTGTAACCAGAGCAAACCATATTGATAAAAAACTATTCAAGTATTTTTTTTAACTTACATTTTTTTTAATTTAAATATATTTTTGAATATTAAAATTTGCAGTTCTATATGTTTATTCAAAGTTTGTCAATAAATATTTATGATTATACTTTTATCTAAACAGAAACATATAGTAGTTAAAGTAACATTTCCACAAAGAACTCCTTCTATCTCTTTTATTTCCTCAGAATGAAAGTTATAATAATTATAAAAATACAAGGTAGTTATATTAGTGTTTTACAAAGTGCTTCTGCTAATATTTTTATATTATCATATTTATTTCAACTAAGAGATAAAGTGGTTAAAGAATGTTTTATGTGAAGTTTCACTATTACATTTACCTCTTCAAATCTTATATTATTACTTCCAATATCTAGAGAAATTAAATCTCTTTTCCTATAAAGAGCCTTTATTTTTGCTTTTACTCTCTCTAAAACCATGATTATTATTATAAAGATCCAGAGTAGTTAGATATGTATTTCTGCAAAGAGCTTTTGCTATTGCATCACCTTCTCTAACACAAAGTTCATTATCAATAAGATATAAAGTAGTTGGTATGTTATTTTTTTAAAGTGCCTCTGCAAGTATTTTTACATCTTCAAAAGTAATTTATATTATAACTAAAATCTATAGTGGCCAGAGTATTATTTTTGTAAAGAATGTTTGCAAATACTTTTTCCCTTCATCTCCAATATTGTTCAAGCCAAGATCAAGAGAAAATGATGATGTATTTTTATAAAAAGCCTCTGATAATGCCTTTTCCTTCTTAGTATCAAGTCCACAAACATAAAGTTTTAATAAAATTAAGCTAATATTTTTACCAAGAACATCTGTTAGTATTTTTAATTCTCCAAAACTAATTTGAGAAAATTTTAATGAAGTAATAGTAATGTTTTTGTAAAGAAACTAATGGATTTTTTACTGCTTTGCTATTATTGGTCTTATATATAGAAGCATACTTTATTTTTCACTTGCACGAATAACATTTTAATTAAAGAATCCTCAACTATTTAAACCATATTCTTATATTTTAAATTGTAACAGAGTTCAATTTCTTCATAATAAGCCAGCTTTTGATTCCTCTGTTTAAATCAAGACTGATCATCGATGTATATTCAAATAATGGGTTTGTTCATTTGGAAGTGATATATTTAATGAGATAAGTGACGCATTTTCTTCAGAATTCAATAGTAAAAGGTATATTTTTATACGTTTTCTAATTTTCTAATCTTTACAATGCAATAATGGTTCACCACATAATATCGGAACTACATTTCTGCACCATTGGCGATTTATAAGTAAACACGAAAATAAATCTCCATAACAATAACTGTATTTAAAATTATTAAATAATTTATAAAGACATCCAATAGGTAATCCTATCATTTTAAAATCTAAAGTGAACAAAGTTACAAGTATAATAAATTTATTTAGGCAGTTTGTTCATAGTAGATGACGCATTACTAAACGGAATAAGCAGATACTTAATACTTGTATGAATATCGATATATGTACGTTTTTGGTACTTATGGGAGCATTGCACAAGCCAGAATTAAATCTAGAATATCAAAATTGAGGATAAAATAATTCCCTTACTATATTACGAGGCTTATTATAATTAAAATTTCTAAACAATTCTTGCGGATTGTAGTTTTATTCTTTTTCTGAGTTGAATATGATCATCTATTAATTAATATCTAATTAACTAATATAAATAAATTATAGAAGAATGCAGTTAACTAAGACTGGATAATGATAGATCAATACCGTGCTAATTTTTAGTTCTCAAAAAATCCGTTGAATCGTTGTTGCTCAACTTTCCAAATCCACTTTATCGAAATATTATTTCTCAAAATCCATAATACTGTTGATCTATTTACAATCTATTTTACCAATAGAAAATTTCACTGAATGATTTTTTTCGATCAAACTAATTTCCTGATAACATGATTTCTTAACACAAATTTTATTGATGGCACTTTTCGCCGACAAGGTCTTTTCCCGAAATATTATTTCTAAGAACTATTTCTGACAGTTTTTTCTTCGAAAAGCATATACTAATATTGCTATATTTAAGAAAAGTTACTACTGAGTAAATGATACATCATGAAAATGAGATATCAAATTTATGTCTTGTCGGTAAAAGGGTGTTGCAAGTATTATGACTTCGGTGAAAGTTAACTCGTAACCCGTTAAACTTTTTTTTTTAAACAATACGCTGCTATAAAGTGTTTGTCTTTATTATTCGATATTTTTTAAGAAGTTGACATACGATAATATTGATATAAGCAATCATCTAATTAATAAGATTTCCCTAATAAAGCTTTAATAACATAAACTGTTGATTAGTGTACTTAAGTATTTACAATGGCTAGGGATTAGAGGTGCAGGTGAATCGTCCCAATGATGCCGTAACTTTTCCGTAGCATGCCTCAACTATATTAAATAATTATAAAAAGTTACGGCAAACATGGCGTAACTTTTTATAAGTGTTTAATATAGTTGCGGCATGCTACGGAAAAGTTACGGCATCATTGGGACGATTCACCTGCACCTCTACTAGGGATGTATCCAAAGTACTTTTATTTTTCTTTGACAATTTTCAAAAATTTTTTACCTATAAGGCATTTTCCATGATATAGAAGTACTGCTTTCTGAAGTTAACTTGTATATTTGTTGACTAATTACGTCATTTCGGAATAAGTATGAGCGTTTTACCGATTAATTAAAAAATATTTATT